GGATTTTAGTCTTGTTTGGTAAAATCCTCTCGAAGCCCCTCCATTTCTCCACCACGCAGTAGGACTGGGGAGAGCCGGATAACATCGCAGCCGAGGCGCCCTGCCGCAGATTCTGGTCGTCCAGAAGAACTTTAATTACGTCGGCGCAGGTGGTGCGCTTCGTCAGCCCGGAGACCAGCTTCTCCTCCCGGCATACCCACACCGAGATCTTCCCCTCCTCTGACTCCATCTCCGGTTGAACTCCGAGAGAAAAAAGTTGCTTCAGTGAATTCTCTGTAGTAACTCAGAAAGTAAACCAGACACAAGTCATCTTTAGGTTTCTGACTACATATGCAGATAAAATCGAAGCAAAACAGTCATCCCAAAACTAATTCTCTGCGCTTCTTGGCCGCTAGTCGGTCCCTAAGTTCGACTATGTAACCTTGTTAGGCCGTGAAAAATGGTCAGAGTTCTCTTAAGAAAAATGATATCCTTTCATATCAGCGGTGTGTTCCCGGGCTGCCTGCCGGGACCGCATCCTTCTCTCCCCGGCAGACCGAGCTCAGCCCTGTGCGCTGTTCCGCAGAGGAGAGGAGAGGTGCGTCCTTGTGCCGCTTTGCTGCGTGTGGGACAAAACAGGAGCAGGCAGTAACGACTGGGATACGCCTCTCTCCCTCTCTCTCTCTCTCCCTCTCTCTCTCGCTCTCTCTCTCTCTGTCTGTCTCACACAGACACTCTTCTACATGGAAACAGTGAAGCAAACACTCCGTGGTCTGTTGAGTGGAAGCTGGAACACAAAGTCGTCTCCTGCTAAATGTTCACTTTTAAAACAGGCCTCCATTCGACAAGTAATCCCCGATCTACCAGTGTCTGCTTTTATTTGTTTCCCCACAGTCTGTAGCCTCTCATTCAGACTGTTTAACAAAAAGTTTAGAAAGTCTCTCCTGTGCGTTTCCGGTCAAAGGTCGCTGTTGAAGTTTCAAATGACGAGAGTTGGTGTAGTGAAATCATCCGATGACAGAATACAGTGCAGTTCAGCTTATTATGGATCCATTTTTGAACCTATTTGTGCAAAAAAACAAACAAATAAATAAATTTAAGGTAAAAAAGACACAATGTTATGATAAAAAAAATCTGTAATCCTATATTCATGTATTGGTCTAAAATAGTCCAATTTAAATAAACTGGGAGTTAAAAAAAAGTGATATCAGCCTGTAAACATTTAAGAAATCTGCACATTTTAAACTGTAAATTCCTCTTGGACAGATTAAAAAAACCTTTAAGTCTCAGAAAAATAGTGCCCACACTTGCTCAGTGCTCCCAAAGTATTTTTGGAAATGTTTGATATTTTACAAATCGTCCATTTCACACATACTGAATAAACCTGAATAAATAAGTGAAGAATTTTGGTTCACTGAAGGGTTTGATATGAAGCCAGTCTGAATCTTCCACCTTCACAGCCAGTATTAGACCATGAATGGTCTTCATATACTCCAGCAGATATCATACTGGAGCTGGAGACTCTTGATGGAAACCATCTGAGCAAGCTGCCTTTTGGTAGTTAGTCCTTTAATTTGTCACCTGGTGGTGTGTCCTCAGGTTAGGGGTCGAGACATTCTACTTTACTGTCTAAAACTTACTATTTAAAGTGGGTTTTGTTGTGATTTGGTGCTATACAAATGAAATGTATTGAATTGTGTTTAGATTTCATTTCATTACACTAAGTAACTGTTACAATCCACAACTGAATCTGAATCTGCAGAGAAAGTCAAGTATGATTTTTTTAGATGATGCTTGGTGCCTTGTCCTTTACTTACTGAGAGCATTTTTAAAAATGTCTCCTCTGAATTTCTAGTCACCACATGTGTGCAGCAGATCTGTCTGTGGTAGTGCTTTTTTATAATGTCCCACCTAAACCAGAACGAATGAGTCCAAGTAACAAGCCAAGAAGAACCACAGACTAAAACACTGATGAAGCTCTTACTCAGCAACCTTACTCTGCAGTATGCATTGTTTTATAGTTTCAGCTTCATAATCCCCACACTGCTGAGCACAAAGCAGAAGGAAATCCATCTATTACATCCTGCAGAGTCACACAGTACCTGACCATGCTCTGCCCTTTCAACTATCCTAGACCAGAATATCGTCGAAGAAATTCATAAAAGGATTTATCTGCATTACAAGTATTTTGAAGTGTGTGTGTGTGTGTGTGTGTGTGTGTGTGTAACACTAATAGCAAGTGTATCCCCAGCAGCCACCTTTAGTCTGTTTGTGTACTGCAACTTCAGCTCAGAGCGATGCACCAGGCAGGTTTGTTGGTACAAGAAGTGCTTTAATACCTTCTGGGAATCTGAAAATGCACTAAAGCCAGTTCGTACCAGTATGTGTGTATGTGTGCACACGCATACACATATCAGACAGAAACATATGCTCTCACTCACAGCTGCATGTGCACACACATTCAGAGCATGCAGTACAAACACAGGTCTGATAAAGAGGACTATCACTGCCATGTTTGTGATGTGAGATAATACTGAATGTTTTTTTTACTTTTGAGCTCATTTTCTGTGAGGTCATCATGTCTGTCTGAGCTGCAGACTTATGCTCCCATTGTTAGCACAGCTAACCCGCTACTAACCCAAACAGGCATTCACACAAACATGAGGTCACACAAAAGGTCCCTTGTTGACTTCAAATAGAGCCTAGTTTGTATCTGATGAATAACAAAAATAAATAAATAACTCAAAACGCAACTAATGTGTATATCAGAGCTGTTCGTGTAAATATATGCATAAAATGATGTTTTAAGTTTAGCGTGCCATGAATAGAAATCTAAAACTGTGGTGTAGCTCTGGTCTGAATTCATTGTGTATTGCTCCCTCTGGTGTGTAGGACACATACTACATGGTTGGAGCCACATTCACCTGCTGATGCTCTCCATTATCACAATAGCAGTTTTTTTGACAAACTGTAGTATTTCTCAGTTGCTTTGCCACAGTCATTAAATATAAATCAGTGGAATTATCATATGTAATTCTTATTGCTTCTGCACAATATTCAAATACATGTAGATTCAACTTCAGTTCTCAAGTGATGCATTTAAGGTTGTCTTGGAAGTTAATATTGGTTACACTGCTTCTCTAATGAACTGTAGTACTCTGAGACGTGTTTATCAATATGTTCAATATGCACAATCCTCAGAGCCTTTCACATTTTCAGCCATCTCCAAGTATTATAATCCTCAACTTGCAAAATGACATGTAGCTCATTAGCCTTTATTTCTCAGACACATTTATGTACACACAGGGAGTGAAATCACACAACACATTTCATTAAAAAGTGCATAACTGTCACATCCCTTTATCATTCCTTCAGCTTCAACAGTACAGTATCGTTTCTGTACTGCTTCATCACATTTTTGTACAGTATGTACCCAAGTCACAGTAACAATAAACAGAAAAGACAAATGCACAAATCATTTCAGGATGAACATTTTACTATTTGAGGATTCATCTGTTATCAGTTAGTTCTTATTATGACAAGTTAGCTTAAGTGTTTTGAATGTGAAAATTTCGTGCTGATGAACGGAAACCAGTGCAGTCCATTTTAATCACAGAGTCTAACACACAGGCTGTGTGAAAACAACAAGACGTGCACATGTGATTAACAGAACTCAAACTGCGGATTTGACAACAGTGTATTCATATATTCTTGCAGGGCAAATCAAGTGTTGAGCTGCACAGTGTGAAATGATGTAGTGTGGACAGCAGCAGCAGTTCAGAAACTTTGCTTAAATGTAATATAAATAGTGACATTTTAGAATTAAGACTGTAGACTTTACTGTTTAGTGCAGACTGAGTCAGGACAAAACACCAGATCACAGTTTGGAACGGACCATTTATTTAAACTGAATAGCATATGCATACAAAGTCTCTACAAAGCTAGAAAATATCTAACATACTTTTAGCCATGAGGGGAGAGAAGTTACAAAGCAAGGATCAGACCCTGTGCAGAACCAATACACACACATTACTAACTTTTCCTAAATGTGCTCTCTTCTTTGCAAAATAGGATAAACATTAGAATATCAAAGATATACACAACATCTGTAATAAATGTTATTGTCACTTTTATACAAAGCACCTTATCAAAAACCCTGAGTGCACACACAGATGTGCTGCGTGTGCACTGGAGTGAAAAGATTCAAGGCCATTTTGGAATTGATTACAGACAGGATTTCTGTGCCACAAGTGGTTCGGAAAAGAAGATAAATATCCAACTTGCACATACGAGACGACATTAACAATACAGACATTGATGACTCAGAAACTCAACAGTTCACTGAAAGTTAGAAGCCTTCTGAATGACCTTTAGGCATCATGTGTACACTGCTTTTTGCACTACTTTATTGGTGTGAGCACGTTCTAGTTGATTATAGTGAGTGGACATCTAACACTAAAGCCTTACAGCTGAGATTACCAGACATTTAGGGCATTTGAATAAGTCACAGTTTCCAGTGGCCTCGTCTTACAGGGCTTCTTCAGTCTGCCATCCAAGATGATAAGGGGTGTCCATGTTTGGTAAGAAAGGTCCAACTTTTTAGAACATCTTTAAAGACAAAAAATGTTCATCAGCACCTTTGTAATCCAGGTTCAAATCACAAAGGTTTTTTTTTTTAATTTAAACCTATTTTTCATTATTCTTTAGATTTACAGTGCAGCAGACCAGCAACCTGATATTCATTTTCCTTAGAAGTCTCTTTATTTGGCAGAAGCTTGTACATTATTCTAGCTTGTAATAAATCATGTTTCCTCTGTATTTTGTGTCACACAGTGACTGTCTTTGGTAAGCAGGTGGTAGATAATGTCCAGATAAAGGGTCATTATTGCAAAGGCAGCCCCTGAGAGGCGGTGTGCTAGTTTATCACATCTATATTACATGTTGTTACTCTGGCGTGAAGGCAGAGGGAAAACAATAAACTACAGTGGTGCGAGACAAAACTGTGGGAAAGTTGAGGGCAGGGGAATTTGACAGGGACTTTCCTGCCAATATAACTCACTGGTGTGTTCAGGTGATTGGGTTTTGTTGGACGTGTGGCTAAAACCCTGAGAGGAGTCTTTAATTAAAATATAGCACAAAGGTACAAAGTCCTCTGAGTCAGAGCAGAGCAGACTCATTTATACCATATATTTATAATCGTTCGGACTAAAGATGGCTCCTTTAAGGCCTGGCAGCATGATTTAAGTTGCCCTAAATATAAAGTAAAATCAGAGAATTGTCTCACACGTATGTTCTGGACACCACATAACATCCCAGCTGGTCACACTGAAAGCATAACCCTAGAAAAGTCATGAGACATGGGTTTGTCAGGAATCTGAACAGGCTACAGTCAGAGCAGAAGGAGCCCCAGGGTGTGTTGTAACAAGCATTAACTTTGAAGAAAGTTATTCAGACAACTCTACATTAGTGAAGCCGGTGCACTAACTGTAAAATAGAGAACTGTCAGGGTTCTGTCCTACTGCTTCCTGTTTCAGGCTCTTATTTTGTTGCCACTTCCTGTTCCAGGTTCATCTCTGTTATGGACTTTTTATAGTAATCAGTGCTCATTGCCTACACCTGTTTTCACCCCATTGTAAGCAGCCTTCTCCCACCAGTAACCTCCCAGATTGTTCTTGACTGTGCAGACTTTCCAGCGTTTTTGCTTTAGTGATTCGCGTTATTGACCCCGGATTGTTTACTGACCACCAATTTCTGCCTACCCCTCCTCATTGTTGTATGTTTATTCTGTGTACCGACTACTGGACCAGCTTCTTTGACCTCCCGTTTTGGATCCCTTGGCTGTGTTCGTTTGCCGGTATTGACCCTGGACTGTTGTGTGACTTGGATTAATGGTTTCTGGACTGTCACTGTATTTTCTGAGTAAGTGCAGTAAAAGTGATATTATTTACTCTGTCTCGTCTGGCTTTATAATTGAGTCCACCATTAACATTGTGGGTAGCTGTACTGGCCAACCCTGACAGAGAACAGCTGCTGGAATTATTTTCTGATCAGTTTTAGAGTAATAGTTTCACATTGAAGGAAATAATGTTTCGCTTTATTTAAGATTAGTCATACTATTATCATATTTGTACTAGCTACAGCTAAAGAGAAACTGTTGGTGGTGCTAATTCTTTAGTTGGGTGCCATTAATCCATTGCAGGGGGAGAGAGTTCAACAAAACAATGTAAATTATAATGTAATTATACTTCTTAAAATGTCAAACTATTCCAATAAGGTTTATAAAAATAAAAAAAGACTTTAGCACTAATAAGGATGTCTTCTTCTGAACATGACTGCAACCAGATTTGATCAAGACTATTGTCAGTAATGGCCCAAATAGTTTTCAGTTATTGTACAGCAAGAATGTGAAGATACAAGGTAGATTTGACATTCTACAATGGTGACCGGTCCCAACAGATGCATTTCATGAATGTGGCACCACTGTGTGCACACGTCTTTAACATGAAGCTCTCACACATACATGTGCACAACAACGGAAATACATGTAAATACTGCCACTGCACACAAAGTGAACAAGAACGTATCATGTGGGAAATCAAAACGGGATTTTCTAGAATGTCTACAAATGACAAGAAACAGCCATTAAATATGAAAGTTGGAGCCTTCAGACAGAGTGCTGGAGCATGTGATACCTAATTATGAATCTGTTGTCTTCACTTTCTACACACCGTCTACAACAATAAATTATCAGGACTCTCATGAAACAGTAGAATGTCCACTTCTGTTTTGAACCAAAGGCACTTCATGCTGATGAGCATGACACAGACCGCAAGTCGACGCCTGCTACAGTCCACTTCATCAACAGTTTTTGGTTTCTGGTTCAATAATGACTTGTATTCTGACAAAATATTACCTAAATGGAAGAAACCAGTCCTGGGCTGATTAAAGGAGCTGTGTCTTCTACAGCTCTGAATGAGCTATCCTGACATGGAAAATTCTGAAACTGCAGAACAGGTAACAAGGTGTGTGGTCAGGCCAGTGTTGAGTGCAATATGGATATAATAACGTTTTAGTTTTGAACATGCTTGTCAGTATGGACATGTTTTAACATGTTCAAGTTAGCTGGTATAGTAATATTGATCTATGTTATGCTTAATTTGCAAAGTGAAACCTGATTTTTAAAAATGCATATTGGGTTTCTTTAAACTGTTTATTTGAACTCTAAGAAACTTTTCCTTCCCTTGAACACCACGAAAGACGTATAGTTAAGATTCACAGTGCTTTCCACAATACAGCTACAGTATATAATCCTCAAAATGTTCCTAAAATCAAAACCATTCTTTCATAGCTTTTTATGTCTATTTACTGAAATCACTGCTCTATATGCTAGGTTTTGAGTTTTCACTGAGTTTTATCTTATTGACCTCAGCCTCCTTGTTTCGTGGTCAGCTGTAAGCAAGCTGTGTTCAGTTGCTAACTCAACATTTGTTACTGCTGCAGCTTCATATTAAACCCTTTCAACTGCTGAAACACAGAACACAGAGTGGCTTTTATTGTGAAGACGTCACAGGACACATAATGCATTTGTTGCAGACAGCTAACACCAAGTGAACCAGGACTGGAACTTTCATCATGGTTTTGATTTATTTCTATTTCGATGAAGAGTAACCTGTTGCGCCAAAAGGTACCTGAATTTTTCAATTTCACGTATAGTTTCTTATTAACATACATTTTAGATAGTGTTCCTGGAATTAAAATATAGTCTATATGCTACTTTCAATAAACAATTTCCCAAAGTTTAGAGGCTATTCTTTTTTTTTTTTTTTAAATAAAAACATACAAAAAGGTAAAAGTTTGATTTCTTTTCTTTGGGACAAACCTCTTTTCTTGTGCAAGAATGCAACTCACACAATTTGAAGTGGCTATCTGTACAAACCCACCTCTATGCTGTACTATATCATAATGCAGTAGTGTTATTTCCTTTCCTGGTTATTGATGATACACAGGGTCTGACCTTCAGTGTCTGCCACTATCTTGGCAGATAACACACACACACTTATGTCTCAGAGGGAGAAAGTTGTGAGTTCTTCTTTTTCTGTCCCTGGGATGAGTTTCCCAAAAGCACATGACAGAAATACTACTTTCATTTCTATCATCAGAACAACAAAATACAAATTTACTGGGAGATTGTGAGGAAGAAACCAATTAGCAGGAGGCATGACATCTACTGGTGATATCAGAGTCAGGGTGTTCATGGGAAAAGCCCCCGGGTTGATCCTGATGTGTTTCTATGGCTGCAATGCCACTGTGTTCTTTATGATAATCAGCATGTGAATTTCAGGTTATAGTGAATATGTTCTGTTGAAATGCTCCTCTTGAGGAGGACTCTGCAGCATATGGTGTTGTATCTGATGTTATTAAAGATGACCCCAATATTATTGTTACAATGGTTTTTTGAGCAGCAGTGAAGATGTAGCCACGTTCTCTCCTCACTAAGCTGAAGTTGTTTGGCTGAAAGACATTTTTCTGTAGAATTACACTTCTGTCACCAACAAAGGCCATGTGTGTGTCTATACACATTTATATAAGTGTGTGTTTGTGTTATTCCTTGACAAGTCGATAGATGTGGTGCTGTGCTCCGTGCTCATTGTTGGACACCTCGAACACACACGCCATGCACAGCAAGGTCTCCTGAGTTTCTCTGTTGCTCACCACCTGGACACACACACACACACACAGAGGAAATACAGGATACATACGAAGTCAGGTGTTATATACACACATCTAGAAACAATGCAGGATTACATACAAATTCTTCCTCTTGAGCCTATACACACACACAGACAGACGTGCTGACTGACCAGCAGAATAGTGAAGTTCTCCAGCACACTGTTCATCATATATTTCTCAGGCAGGTGTTTGAGCTTGTGGATGAAGTTGATCATGTATTCGCACATTGGAGAGCGACTGATTCTGTAAGCAAAACGACCATTTTCAAACCTGGCATACTCCGTCTGAAAGAGGGAGAGACAGAGGATGATTATTGTAAGAGAAAGTGGTAACTGACCATTTAAAGGGGAGTTCACCAGTTTACAAATCAGTCAAGATCTTGGCCTGTGAAAACAGTTGTATAGTGTACGCTGTGCCTCTAAAGAACTGATTTACACATCTCTATCCTGAAAGCTCTGAAAGCCTAAATTAATGATGATTATTCATTAAACAAACACTGCCGTCCCTGGTAGGCTAGTGGTTAAGGCGCAGCGCTCTCGCCACTGCGGCCCGGGTTCAAATCAGGGTTGCGTCAGGAAGGGCATCCGGCGTAAAACAAATGTCAACATGTGAGTCGTCAATGTGACGATTCACTGTGGCAACCCCTAAACGGGAAAAGCCGAAAGTGACTGACATTCATTAAACAAACGCTGTGTCAGGAGTGTGTGTGTTAAGTCTTGATTTTGAGCGTCTCATTTTTCTTTGCTCTACCACAGTGACTACAAGAATTTTATTTAACCTAATAACTGGATAAAGCCCTTTCATTTCTGCAAACGATGACTTGAGAAGAGCAATGTTTTATGATTTTTCTTCAGCTTTAATCCCTTATTGTTTAAATTCCGTGCAAAATCACAGCACTTTAATGATCAAGAAACCATCCTACATTGCCACGATCAACCTTAGCACCTAATGAGAATTAACAACCATCCTCACCTCCACCTTCTCGACCACCTGCTTGCCGAACGAGCAGACTTTGGTGGAGCAGGTGATGGTCATGTTCTCTGAGCTCTCATACTGGCTAGTCACTCCATAAAAGGCTGCAGGGTCCTCTTGCACATTGTAATTCAGGTCCGCCTGGCAATCACAGAACAACAGCATCATGATTTACACCATTAGCAACAAAATAAATGAATGCTGAGAAGAAGAAGCTGGGAAGGCTGCTGGGACACAGAACTGTCAGAATCAGAATTAGCTTTATTGGCCAGGTGTGTTGGACACACAAGGAATTTGACTCTGGTACATCGGCTCTCAATGTGCAAACAGTAAGCCAGCATAAGGCTGTGTAATATAACAAAATAGCAGTATTAACGTCAACAAATAGTGCAAACAATGCAGAAAAAGCAGTATAAACAGACAGTAAACAATGCAGACAACAAAGGAATGTTCTTTGAAATGAGATAAATAGGGATAAAACAGAGTGCTTAAAACGGAGTACTAGAGACCTGTACGAGTCTGTGTAATCTGTACAATGTATATACACACACACACACACACACACACACACACACACACACACAGGTATTGCACTGAGGGTTATTGTCCAGTCACACTGTCATGGGTTAAGTGTTCATCACAGTGACAGCCTGGAGGAAGAAACTGTCCGTGTGCCTGGTTGTCTTAGTGCACAGTGACCTGTAACGCCGTCCAGAGGG